CTGAGAGGTCGGCTGGTGTACAGGCTTGCCGACGAGATAAACTGTTCATGGTAAATCAAGTTGGGGTCATACACCATACATGCATGGTGTGTGAGCCATATATATGTAGGAGAACATCTGAATAAAGCAATCTATACTTAACTATATGTGTGAATCCACGGCTGCCCTTGCCCTTCCCGGCAGCGTTGCCGTCCTTCTCGCGGAAGTACAGGTCGAAGATGCAGTATGGATCGAGCCGGATCTGCTCGTCCCCGCAGTTGTCCTCGCCGTCGTTGTCCTCCTTCGATGGCAGTCCGGCCATGGCATGGACCGCCATGTGAGACAAAATGTGTTGTATTCAATCTCTGTAAAACATACCAGTTGTGCGTAGCTCTTTCTCCTCCCAATTCTCTTTGTAAATCGATCGTCTTGTACTCTACCATAGAAGCCGTGGCTAATGTAGTAATGTCGTCGTTGAGTGCTCCTGGCTTTGCCAGCTCCTTCTTGAGCTCTCGTGTCCTGTCAACAAGGCGGCGGTGGTCTACTACAACAACGTCTCCGCTGTCTACCTCTCCGCCAACCCGGTTCATCATCGCCGTACCAAACCCATTGGGATTGATATTCATTTTGTCTAGGATCAGGTGACTCTTGGCCGCGTTCATGTTTTACACGTTTCCACATCCCAACAATTTACAGATATCATGACCAAGGCTTGCCTACGGCGTCCTTCGAGGAGTTTTGGTCCAGTCTTTGTGTCAGCAATGACGCCGCTTCGACTGCACAGGGGGGGGGGTATGTTATGTGCATTTGTGTATATGGCCCAGGGCCGGGTCCACAGTGGTGCAAAACATGCGGGCCGCACAGGGCCTCAATTTTTTTACATAGGCCTAGTATTAAAAAAAATTATGCCCTGCTGGGCTGCTGGGTGCTGTAGTGGGCTCTCTCGCTCTCACTCTGGGCTGGAGTTGAAGTATAGCGACGAGGCCACGAGTGCTACCCATCGATCGATCGACAACGAGACAACGACCAGCATAGAAACGGGATCGGGGGAGGATAGGAACGTCTCATCGCCTGGTCATTAGATCAATCGGATCATAGGGCGGGCGGCCGCTGCCGCCGTTGCCTTCCTCGCCTCCTCTGTCCTCTCTCAAATTTGGATTGATCGGTGACCGACTCTAGCCTCCTGCCAGGTGCTTACTACTTAGCGAGTCCTTCTTTTCGATCAACTTCGATTCCTCCTCCTAATTCCTAATTTTGTAATTAGTTATTGGCAGGGATCGTTACTTCGTTAGAGATTGGTACTTATTTCTTACCTCCTTGATTAAAGATCACATGACCCAAAACTATGTGAATTATACGACTAATTTAATGACAAACATTGATGCATGATCTCCAACTTGAATTGATTTATGCTACTGTATAACTTCAATTTTATTTTATTCATCTTCTTTATCTTGTGTTTTAATATACGGATTTGAGTCATCATGGGGAAACATGAGTCTGGTGCCTCCAAGCGCGATAGAAAAGCACAAGAACAAAATTTAATTAATAAATCTTATAAAGGTGGTATGGACAGATTTGTTAAAAAAAAGCACCGCAAGTGTCATCTGGTAATCAGTCTGTTGATCCTTCTACCCTTACAATTTTTTTCTGCGAAAAATATATACTATAATTGCTCGTTAGTTCATTTTCTTTGTGACAAAGGGCCTCATTTTTTAGTTTGGAACAGGGCCCTCGGCCTGTTTCTCCTGTATGTTGCGAACTATATGCTGTTGTATATGTTTCTCTACAGGAAAGAAACAGAAACAGGGAAAAAAGGCTCCTGGGCACACCATTGCCGAGGGCGGCTCTCGGCAATGACTGTGAAACTGGACCAGAATGCACCCTTTACCTAGAGGCCTCTCGGTAAACGTATACCAAACAGTATACCCTGACACCTTTACCGAGAGGGCTCTCGGTAAAGGATAATAACCTGTAGCCCTCCTGGCAACTTTGCCGAGAGGCCTCTCGGTAAAGGAAAAAGCATTGCCGACAGTGGCTCCCGGCAAAGTATTTTCACGGCTTTTAGGAGAAGTAACATGGCTCTCCCCTATTGGCTCAGTTTGCCGAGAGCCACACTCGGCAAAGATAGAGTTTGCCGAGCGTGGCACTCGGCAAAGATGGCCCTCGGCCTGTTTCTCCTGGTCCCACATGTCGGAAGCTGACACATGTCATCCTGCTACTGGCTCCCTTTGCCGAGAGTGGCACTCGGCAAAGTTGATCCTCGGCCTGTTCTCTTGATCCCACATGTCAGGAGCTGACACATGTCAGCCACCTATTGGGTGGCTTTGCCAAGAGTGGCTCTCGGCAAAGTTGGCACTCGGCCTGTTCGCCTGGTCCCACATGTCAGGAGCTGACACGTGTCAGCCACCTACTGGGTGGCTTTGCCAAGACTGGCACTCGGCAAAGAAGGCCCTCGGCCTGCTCACCTGGTCCCACGTGTCAGGAGCTGACACGTGTCAGCCACCTATTGGCTGGCTTTGCTGAGAGTCGCTCTCGGCAAAGTTGGCCCTCGGCCTGTTCGCCTGGTCCCACATGTCAGAGCGGACACGTGTCAGCCACCTACTGGGTGGCTTTGCCGAGAGTGGCACTCGGCAAAGAAGGCCCTTGGCCTGCTCGCCTGGTCCCACGTGTCAGGAGCTAACATGTGTCAGCCACCTACTGGGTTGCTTTGCCGAGAGTGGCTCTCGGCAAAGTTGGCCCTCGGTCTGTTCGCCTGGTCCCACATGTCAGGAGCTGACACATGTCAGCCACCTACTGGCTTTCTTTGCCGAGAGTGGCACTCGACAAAGAAGGCCCTCGGCCTGCTCCCCTGGTCCCATGTGTCAGGAACCGCCGTCACTGTCTGCTATCCGTTAGCTACTTTGTTTTGCTGAGTGGTACTATTTGGCTCTCAGCAAAGTCTTTCCTGAGTGCCCGTGTTCTAGCTCTCGGCAAACTTCTGTTTGCCGAAGAGGTGTACGCCGGGTGGCTTTTGCCGAGGGTGACACTCGGCAAAGGCTTTGCCGGCGGTTTCGGCCCTTTGCCGAGTGTCCGTGGCACTCGGCATAGCCCAGAATTCCAGTCGTGTAAGCTTGGTCTGTAATTTTCTACTTATAAGTACAAATTCTCCCAAATGCGGTATTTTCCTTTTCCTTTAAATCTAAAAATAATTAAAGCAGCATCCCTACTTCGTCAAAACGATAAAAATGAAAACTGTGCTAGGAAAATATTCATGGAGTCAATAACATCTTAAAAAACTCGCCCGTGAATGAAATAACAATGTAACACTAGAAGAAACAGAGACACACAGAGAGAAACATGTATACAGGTTTACATATGGGTGACGAAATAGAAACTTTAAATTTCCAAAACATTACAATACAACTGGGAATGATGGATGCATGCAATGACATGTTGGGAGGAAGGGAAAATTATATCTATTGTTACATAAATGATGGGCGCTTGAAATGTCGCATGCAACAACCTTAGAGAAAAAAAGAGGACACGCATGAAACAAATGTTTGACAAAAAGGACAAGTGGATGCATAATTACATATGGATGACCTTCACACACTCTCTCCCTCCCGCACGCCCCGCATCGCCTCCCGAGTGAGGCGACCGAGGCGGCCCCTCCATCTCCTCGCTGCCGGGCGCCCCCGTCCCTCCCACCGCTACCATCTCATCGGGGTACTCCTCCTCATCCGACGAGCCATCAGACGACTCCACATACTGCTCGTATATGTACTCCAAATCGGAATCCATTGCTAGAAAGAAGAAGGGACAACTGTTTTTAGCTCCGATGATTCATCGAGCGGTTGCTAAGCATGGTGAGAATAGCAGTAGCGGATGGTACCTCACGGGACGGTCGGAAGACAGGAGTTGAATGGAGGCAGAGGAGAAGCGGGGTGGAGCCCTGTTGGAGCACTGGAGGTGACGGAGATGTAGAGTCCCAGCAGGAGTGTGGCGTGGTGGCCGGGGTGGTGGAGCAGCGGTGAAGGAAAAAGAGAAAGAAGGAAGGAGAGAAAATGGGGAGGAAGGAGTCGCGGGGTCTGGGAAGGGTTTTGAGTGGGCAGAGGGTGTGAGATTCCTACGTTTCGCGTTTCTGGACTCCTGCAAAGGTCCCTAACTTTTGTCTCTAGTTTGCGGGAAAATTGCCCCGCGGACCGATACAGGCCCGCGTTGGATGGCTTTCGAGGTTGGACAGCGCTGTCCCGCCTGATGCTGTCAGTTTGTGGGTCCGCCTTGGAGATGCCCTTAGTAGTTATAAACTCCTAGTTCACAAACTCCACAAACGGTACTATATACGGGGCTTTGCTACACGCACGGACTCTCTAATATGGAATCAACAGACTGTAATACGTGGCAGTCTTAAAACTAAAAAGCATATTATTTCTACATACCCACAATGAGTAAATCAAGCGGGCATTTATACCCTTATATGTACGCTGAACATGTTATCGATGCCACAAAGCCAACTACGAAACATGTGGACGGTAGCACATGGCATATACAAATTGGCGCCACCTGGATGACCTTTTATTTGACCAACTGTTTTTTCCTGTCAATGTACACCTAGATTACTGCACGCACTCGTCTCGATCTTGCCCTCGGTCATCTTTGTTTGTTGTGCAATATTAATTTATTAGATTGAAGTTGGATTGCAACACTCCATCTTTTTTTGGCAATATGAGATCCAACAACATGCGTGGTCTTAACAATGCAAAGATCTTTGATGAGCCACACGAGGGCAGCACGCACATCACGTGTGTGATTACGTACATAGCTTTGTCCCAGGCTGCAACACGAGCCTACATAAAGCCCTTCAACCAACAGCCTTGAGAGAAAGCAAAGCACATAGGGAGGGCAACGGCAAGCTAAGCTAGCTTATAAACGCAAGCAGGAGCTTTTATCGCTGAATCACCATGGCGAGCACTTGCAAGGCGGTGGTAATCCTTGGCATCCTTGTGTTTCTGCAGGTGTCCGGCGCAGCTGGGTGGGCCATGGACCAGCCGGCGGTGATGTCATTGAACGGCTTCCAGCAAGGAGAAGAGGGCGGGCCGGCGGCGTGCGACGGCCAGTATCACAGCGATGACCTCTTCCTGGTGGCGCTGACCACGGCGTGGTATGAGAACGGCGCCCGGTGCGGGAAGCTGATCAGCGTCAATAGCTCCAACGGGCGATCCCATGAGGCTAGGGTCGTGGACGAGTGCGGCACCGGTGACGGCTGCCGCACTAACGAGATCAGCACGTCCGTCGCTGTGTGGGAGGCACTTGGGCTCGATACCAGCGTCGGCGAGGTATCCGTCACCTGGTCGGACGTAATCTGGTAAATCTGAATCATCTGGTTTTAACCTCAATAATGTGCATGCGTACATGCATGATGTGTGCGGATAATCTATTTTATATACCAAGTGTTAATCAGTGTGAAGTTCGTAATGGTACTATAATTAGTCTGTTTGAAACGATCTCAGTTTGCTATAATAATGTGCTTCCTTCTGTGAGTTTGATATGTATGTATTTCTTCCCTTGTATTTATTCTCCCAATTCGCTACTTTCCTTTTCCTTTAAAGCTTAAATAATGAAGGCAGCAATCCTACAACTTTCAAAGAATGAATGAAGTAATATAACAAGAAAACGAGACACCAGTCGGGAGACCTCCGTCCAAACTTAGTTGGCCTAGATATGTGGACCGTGACATGCACATAGTTCTACATGTGTCGCCTTATCGAAAGTTTTTTTAATCGCAAAAAATTAAGATACTAGCCATGGAGCCGTACAGCTCCAGAAGCTAATCTTTACCTATAATATCTTTACCTCTTTACCTACTAATAAAACGGCTATCGCTTCTGGTCGTTCGTCATTAAAATTACCCTTCAAGTTGGTTAAAATCACTCCCCTGTTTTTTCTCATTTTACTTTTTTGTCTTTTCTTTTCTCATTCTGTTTTCTTTCTTCTTTAAATTAATTCCTGATTTTAATATTTTAAAAGTTTTGAGTTTTCAAAAAAAATAAGTTTGATAAAAAACATTAAATATATGTGAATTCAAAAATGTTTAGAAAATCATACAAAGTTTGCAGATTCAAAAGTTTTGCAAAACTGTTGCAAAATTATAAAAAAAATCACAATTTGTAAAAAATGGTCGGGAAATAAAATCGTGTTCATGATTTTGACAAAATGATCATGTATTCAAAACATATTCGGGAATCTCAAAAAATGTCCATAAAGTTTTAGAAAATGTTCACAATAATAATAATAAATATTTGTTTTTTTTGTTTTGTTCCCCAATTTAAAAAAAAGTTCATAGATTCAAAAAAAGTTTGTTGAGTCAAAAAATGTTATAAATATGAAACCGGTACGTACATTCAAAAAAGTTGTAAACAAGACTAACGTTCATGATTTTTATGAGAAAAAAAAAATTCAAACAAAAAAATGTTTGTCTATTCGAAAAACTGTTCACTGATCCAAAAGTATTTTATGTCTAGGATTTGATTAGTTTTTCCAGAGTCTTTATATGTCTTGGTGTTGGGAGTAGTTGATGGTCAATGAGATTTGTTTTTAAAGTTTTAAACGTTCCCTTGTGCAATATAGTGACAAGTGTGGCATGCACTAGCAAACTCATAGCCTTGGGATTTACCACGTCGAGTGCATTGTGATCACGTGAACATCGCGACCATCATCACCTAGGGTGAGAAAAAAATGGCAACATGGTGAACCACTATGTTAAAATAAAGTACGCTCATATATCGGGATATTGAGTCATACTTATTTGGTTAGCCATAATTTTTTTGTCTCCCATTGCAACACACGGGCATATGCGGCGACATAGGTGGATTGCCACGTATACATAAAGAACATGGGCTGGTGTGAAGAGGTTCTTGAGCCATAAATATTGGATTATACGCATGTGAAGTGTTTTTTCTCCCGGTGCAACGCACGGGCATTTTTCCTAGTAACAATAAAGCAAATTGGGTTTTTTTCGTCCGTCATGCCATTTTTCAGAAAAGTCCCTCTATTTCAGAGAATTCAACCCGCAGTCCTGTTTTAAGTTAAAACGTATCTTTATTTTCGTATTTTACACAAAAGTCCCTGTCTTTTCTTGAAATCAACCCGCCGTCCGGATTTAAGTCACACCCGAACCGTTATTTTACATTTTTCGAAAACCCCCCTGATGTTTTAGATAATTCATCCGCGGATCATATTTAAATCAAACAAATGCTTTTTAAAATCATCCATATCTTTTAAACCGTAACTCCAATTTGAACATGTTATATATAAAATTTGATTAGAAAAATATGTAGAATATGAATATGAGATTATTTTTACCTTTTAAGTATATTTAAATATTATTTTGGAATATATTGAGTCAAACCAAATGATTTTTTCTAAATTATATGTATCTTTTAAACCTTTACTTCGATTTTAACATATTATATATGAAATTTTATTAGAAAAATGTGTGGAATCTATATATAATGTTAATTTTACCTGTTAAATATTTTTAAAATATTGTTATGGAATCAAACTTATAATTTATAGCGCAAGATCCTTTTTTTCATACCGACGGCGATCCAGATTGCAAATAAACACTCCACTATGACCATATACGGAAAAGAAAACATCGATAACCATATTCAACACACTTTTTTGTTGTTTTGTGTGAACACCGAGGCCATCACCGGCGAGGGTGAGAAGGAGAATAAGCGGCTACACAAATATGATGCCTCGCAAAAATAAAGAAGATGGACCTATTGTGGTCTTGAGTGATGGTTGTTGAGTTAAGAGTGTGTGTTATGTTTTTTCTCCCGTTGTAACGCATGAGCTCTTTTGCTAGTAATTTCTATACATAGTTATTACATGATGATCGTCATAAGGGGTCAATGATGCCCACCTCACCGGTGTATGCTGATGGATGTGCCTCGGCAGGCTTTATTCTACGCCAGGAATATTGGCGCCGAGCCCTAGCTTGTTCCTTGCACCGGTGCCCAGCGCCCTCTCGCTCTCTACCTCTCTCTGCACTCTTTTCTCTCTGGCACGAACCGAGGAGGAAGGAGGGAAGAATGAGGAGACACAGGACACGATCGTGTTTTCCGGCGAACATACGCCTGCCGCGCACAACGGCAATCCTTTTCCCAAGCACGGATTCGACAACACAGGCCGGGTTACAACGATCAGCTCGGAGGCATTGTATAGCCAAGCCTACACTGGAGCACGACCCACGTGCTCCGTGCCCAGCCGGAGCCCCGATCGGCCCGCTCCGCTCGAGGGTACCATGCGCACGGCTCGTGGCGAGCCCGCTACGATCACACCCACCTCGAGACCCCGTAACCACCTGGACCTAGTCCTACTCCCACCCGATGGATGCGAACACGCACGCACACCCTTGACCTACGCACATGCACGCACCTCGAGCTACGCACGCACACATGCTATCTGGACATGCCCCAGATAATAGGTATAACCAAGTCGGACCATGCCCAGACAGTGATCGGACTATGACCAGATACTCACACGCACACACGGCCACTGACCCGGCGCGGCACGCTCAGCGCGCACACATGCTGGACATGCCATCCGTGGCTTATTGGCCAATAAAGAGCCCAAGAGGCAGCGGATAGCCCGCTATGATGCCGTAAGACGCTGCTTCATCAACTGAGCAATGGCGAACTTGTTGGAAAACAGAGCATGCAATTTCAAAAAATTTCATATGTTCACGCAACGAGAGGGGATGCATAGCAACGAGAGGGGAAAAGTGTGTCCACGTACCCTCGTAGACCGAAAGCGGAAGCGTTTGCTCAACGCGGTTGATGTGGTCGAACGTATTCTCATTCCGACCGATCGAGTACCGAACATGCGGCACCTCCGAGTTTTGCACACGTTCAGCGCGATGACGTTCCTCGAGCTCTTGATCCAGCAGAGGGTCGAAGGATTAGATGAGTTCCGTCAGCACGACAGCGTGGTGACGGTGATGGTGATGTGATCCGCGAGGGCTTCGCCTAAGCACTGCGAGATATGACCGGAGGTGTAAACTGTGGAAGGGGGCACCGCACACGGCTAAGAACAATTGGTG